AAATGTTAAAATTATAAATGCAGAAAAATTCAGGTGAAATTATATAACTTAAACTAAGTAGTTTCAGCTAAATTGTGAATAATTATAATAAGTTACCACTCTTTTCATTGCTGAGCACTGATCAAGACAAGAGTCTTGACAGGGAAATTGGGCAATACACTTGGACCTTCATTCAAATAAATTGGTCAGTCTCTGATTGGYGGCAGTGTATTGCTTTATTCCCCTGTCGCTGTTGTCTTGATCAGCATGTAGCAATGAAAAGAGTGGTAAGATCCTTGTAGTATTTTGTCTTTTTGTGYTAATAATCTTTGGATGTAAAAGAAGGTAAACAAGACCAAAAAATATGATATTGAATATGTAGAATAACAGTGTACTGAAAATTAATTTTTGCACTAAATTTGAATAAGTTAAGATAAAAGATCCCAGCATTTTGAATGAGAAATTAAATTCTTAATACTCTATTTTCAAGGCTTTATTCCCAAAATTAAAATTTATAGCCTTTGCAAAAGCTTTTCAATTTTCTTTTTCTTTTTAAAAACCATGTTTTACATTTAATAATTTTAGAATTCTTGTGAAGAATTTTTTATCCTTGAATCAAACAGATTAGGATTAGTACAATGAAACAGAAAAGTTTGAATAAAAAATAGAAAATCATTGAATTTGCTTTTCCTTTTTAAAGTATTCTTTGTTTAAAAGATTGATGGTTGACGATTGTTAATAAGTAGCTAGTACCTATATATAGTTAAAATGGTTTGAAAAGCAGCTGTTGTAGCCCAGTAAAATAATACATACATGTATCATTTATATTGTTTAAGACAACTCAGCTGGAATTTGACAAGTCATTTTTCATCTGTTCTTGACCAAGTCTTGCTAAAATAAATAGTGAAAATTTTTAAACTTTTACTTTCCAAAAAGTGAAGCTATAGTTCTTATTTTAAGTAGAACAGACTATTCTGCTCCAAAGAAATATTTATGCTCAAAAAATTAAACTTGAAGTAAAACAGTAATACAATGTAATCTACTAAGCATGAAATATCTTAAATAGTAAACACAGTAAGAGCCAAATGATGTTTCAATGTGTTTAATATCTTATATGTCAAAAAGAAAAATAATTTCAGACATTTAACAATTTCTTTAACAGTTTTTAAAGGTTAAATTTTTAAAAATGTACTTTTTTTTAAATATAAAATACTTGACAAATGAATTACTAAAAATAATTTACCAGTCGTAATAGTGCTTCTCCTGTTTTGTTGCTGTTGTTGTAAAGAGCCATTAATGCTTGCTAATGTATTTGAATGCCCTAATGCAGTGTTTATTATCTATGTATAATTGTGATTCAAGAGTTTATTATTTTGTGTGTGTACATTATCTTGTGGGCAGGGGGAAGGAGGGGGTGGGTCAGGATATAATTTTAAAATGTCCATAACTTCCCTGACTCTTCACAGATTATTAACCCTCCCTGTACCCATGTATGCCAGTCTCATAATGCCAATACAGTATTTCCAAGTAAACCTCTTTGACATTAGCATGCACACCCAACATGTTTCATATCTCTTTCATACTTGTTTCACTCCATTAATAAAAGAAAAACATTCCCTACCAAATTATTACCTGTTTTTTAATCTCCTTATGGTTTCAGGCCTCATGATACCATGTATGGAGGTCGAGATGGGCCACACCCAATGTCACCGTATAAACATCCACGGCGCTTGAGTGAAGGGGATGTAAGAACGCAGTCAGGGGGATTTAAAAACTTCTCACCTGGCTTTCATATGCCAAGCTTTAGATGCCAGGTATTAAACTCTTTGTATTGGCATCTTGTTCCTTTCAAGATCACATTTGCAGCCATTCTGCAGGCATCTATTATCTGTATTTTGCTATTGGTGGGTTTCCTGTGTCTATACTAATTTGGTGGACTGGTACTCTCCCTCTAATGGCATGTTCCATACTGAATGATTGACACCTGCAGAGCAGGGTACTGCAATGCAAAGATGACATATATTTCATTGAGCAGGAAGGTTACGGTCAAAACAACACAATGCTACCTTCGTAGGTTCCATTAATGGTCTCATTATTTGAATATTGAAATTTATTCTTTCCGAGAATACGAAGATTCGGCATTTAAAATAATAAGAGATTCAAAACTCAAATTCTGGTTGGATTATGGTGATCCTTATGTTGAATAATCCGATTAGAATTGGAGGTTTGATTTGGTCATTATTTCAAATCCTGAGTCTTCATATTTTTGGAATGAAGAACTATAAATTTCAATATTTGAATTACAAAATCATCAGTGGAGCCTGGGGGAGGGGGGGGGGCGTAAACTAAAGCCATTTTGACTGTAAGATCAAAACTAATCAAGACCATTATTCAAATACTGGTTTTCCTAATGCACCACATATACTGTTGTTGTAAAATACCTGCCATTTGTTTATAGTTTTTTTGTTGTTGTTTGTTTTGTATTTACAGGAATTTGGTCTGGGTAACTACAATGATTTCAGCTCTGTCAGTGATGACAGTCTGATGCAGGACAAGTATGTAATGCTACAAAACTACTTTTGGTCGATACTATTAGCCATTTCAAGGTTCATTTGGCATTGCAGTGCAATGTGGGGCTGTTTTATGGGACATATTACCAAGACAGCATCTATTTCATCCAATAAAACTGCCCTAAAATGCACTGCAATTCCAGCTCCATCTAGTTTTTTTCTCAACCTTTGTCAGRCTTGATTAATAATTTGATAATAATCCCATTCCATCTCATCCCATACCACCCATTCTATCCTATTCTATCCCATCTCATATCCCATCCCTTTTCAACCCATCCTATCCTTTTTCTATTTGATCCCATCTCGTCTAATTTCATATGGCAACTCATCCTTTCTTATTTTATCTCATTTTGTTCCATCCAATATATTTTTGTGCATTTCTATCCATTGTTGTTCTACACTTTCCCATCTATCCTTCCATCCAACCATCCAGTTAGTAATCTTTCGGCAATCCATCCTTCTTGTATACCTATCAATCAAGGCATTGACATACACTTAAGTCGTGTGAATTCTTGATTTTATTTTCCAGGGATAAAGAGAAAACAGCAAGCCTCAAAAGGAAAGAATCTGACAAGGCTGCTGGTGCAGAGAAGAAAAAACGACGTCTTTTTGAAGATGGGCCCAGCACAACCCAACCAGACCAAAACTCTTCTCCAAAACCACAACTAAAGCCATCACCTCAGCTTTCACCGGCAACAACAACATCACCATCATCACAAGAATTATCAACATCATCATCGCAAGAATTATCGAAATCATCTGAAACAAAACCTCCTATACCCAAACTGCCTGAGCCATCAGGGAATCAAGAACAGGGAGGAAATGACAGAAAACCATCCTTAGATACAAAGGTATAATACAAGAGTAGTAATACTTATAGCTTTCTCATAATGTTACAGTGAAAAGAAATACACAGGTGGTGTAGAGGTGAGARCACCCACCTCTCATCAATGTGACCTGGGTCCGAGTCACGCTGAGCTCGGTGTTGTATGTGAGTAGAGTTGCTCGTTGGTTCTCTCCTGTGCTTCAAGGGATTTTTCTCTGGGTTCTCCGGGTTTATCTCCCTCCACAAAAATCAACTTCTAAATTCCAATTGGATCATGGAAATGTTCTTGATGTGAATAAGAAGCAGAAACACAAGTCATTCTAGCAATTCTTGGATCTTGGAACGACATCTCCTAATGCTTTTCAATATTAACTATTGCTTATTGCCTTTGGAGATTACAACATTGATTGATATAGGTGTATAATAAAGTGTATTTAATGCTGGATGTCATACTTAGTAGCTTCACATTGTATCCTCAGTGATGTTTGAACGCCGTTTCTTTTTTAGGAGTCTACAACTGCCCCAGTAGTYGAGGAAATTTCTCCAGTAAAACCAGGTAAAATGTTGAATCAGATTACTTGAATCAGAACCACAGGTTAGCCCAAAAGGTGTAGACACTGAAGTATGATTATTTTTCTAATACAGAAAAGCAAGGTCCAACATGCTCTGAAGAGGAAAGCGGTAACAAAGAGAACAAATCAATCAGCAGTTTAACAAAAGAAGATCTGATACAAAGTATGGAGAAGTTGGACAGAGATATCACCCAAACAGACTTGCAGATAGCTAATCTGAAGAAGAAAAAGGTTTGTAAAGCATCCCCAGCTTTGGCAACCAATGCAAGTAGCATTTGTTATCTTTCTCCTTTGATTCTAGGGTTTTTCTCTGGATTCTCTAGTGTTCCTTCCTCCACAAAACCTAATGTTAAATTCTAATTTGATTTGTGAGTTAGCTTTACTCATGGTGCATGATGCATGGTATGTTTTATAACTACTCTCAAGACATATGGATTTTCTCTTTCTTCAGAAAAGGACTGACTTCTAAATGCATTATGGAATCCATTTGAAAATTTCACTTGTTCCTTTCACAGTAAGCTGCGCCATCTTGAAAGTTAGCCAAGTCTTTGAATCGAAGCGAGATGAACGGTGAGCTTGCAAAGATAGAGACATGTGAATAACTGTCCAAGGTGCTAAAAAAGGTCTCTATCATTGCAAGCTCACTGTTCATCTTGCTTCGATTCAAAGGCGCAACTATCTTTCAAGGTGGTGCAGGAAACTACAAAAGGGATCATTAGTTACACTTATAATAATTGTCCTAATATTATTGTATTCTCAACTCTCCAGCAACAGTTAGAAGAAGAAGCAGCAAAAGCCTTAGTTGAACCTCCCAAAGCACCATCACCTCCTCCAGAACTCAAAGTTAAAAGTTTAGTTCAAACGATTTATGAGGAGAACAGAGTAAGTACAACACCTCCTGCCCAACAGACTTGATACTCAACTGACTGACATAATCGTTATCGTACAAGTTATTATTTTCCTTATTTTTGTTTCAGAAAAAGGCTCAGATGGCTCATGCTCAACTTGCTAAACTAGGTTTTCCACTACCAGATGGAAAGGTATGTTGTTATGGATGACCCTTTCTTAGTAGCCAGTGAATATATAATCCAAATTTTTATTTCAATGAAGGAGCAGAGTAGTGTTATTCGTATGATTTACTGTACTGACTTACGACACATACATGGCATGTCATGTTGCAACATTGAAATTTCTTCCTAAATTGTCTTCCATTAAATTAGCAAACCACAATGCATAATTGTGACTATCCTGTAATATAACTTAGCTACCAGTACAGTGCAGCTATGAATTTGCMATTTCCTACTCACATGAAAACTGCTCTAAGCTCCAAAATAACAGTAGAATTACTTATGGTGTTGTATTTTCAATCTCACTTTCCCTGCATTACCCTCAACATACTGTACATTGACCGTATTCTCATTTATCTTTCTTACAGCCCCTCTACAATCAGCCATCAGATCTTCCTATTTACCATGAAAACTTAAGGAGGTCAGTATATATTAGTTTCTTGGTTATCAAATTACACATCTGACATTGAGACAAATAGAGGAAGATCACTTGGCAAGAGTGGCATAACAGTAGTGCACTATCTTCAAGAGAATTTTAAGGGAAGCGTGGGTAGCATTGTTGCTAATGTGCAACCTCTCACCACTGCGAGCCAGGTTCGAGTCCTGCCGGCCTTGTTGTTGTATGCGACTGGAGGGTTTTTCTTCCAGTTTTTCCTCCCTCCACAAAAATCAACTTCTAAATTCTAATTCGATCTATCAGTTGCCTTATCAATTGGGTTRCAAAACCTGTTAGGCATTAACCCGTCCACCCAGGAGTGGTAAACMCATGTGATTTTAGATTTAAAATGCTTTGAAATCTCTTGATTTACATATGTAAATATAATAATTTATATATTTATTCTATTTGTCCTCTACAAACAGTTATGATACTTTCTATAATTTATTTCTTTTGAATGAAGGGCTCCGTTTGTCAAAGCAAAACTTGTGAAGTATTTTCAACTTCGAAGACAAGCAAAGGAGATTAAAGTGAGTTTTAGTTTTGATATGCTGTGCAATACATGCTATGAGATTCCAAATCACATCCCATGGAATGTACAGTAATAAAAAGCACTGGCTTCAAAAATATCTGCAGYATTTTCTATTCAGAGGTTGTAGTGGGTAGTACAGAGAAAAGAATAGGATAGGAAAAAAAGAATGAAAGGGAAGGGAAGGGAAGACATGGAGAAGGGAATTAAATCCTCTCCCATCCTCTCCTTTCCCATCCTCTCCTCTCCCATCCTCTCCTCTCCCATCCTCTCACTCCCATTCTCTCCTCTCACATCCTCCTCTCCCATCCTCCTTTCCCATCCTCTCCTCTCCCATCCTCTCCTCTCCCATCCTCTCCTCTCCCATCCTCTCCTCTCCTTTCCTCTCACTTCCATCCTCTCTTGCCACTGTCTTTCCTCTTTCACATTCCCAGTTCTCCACATGCATCACCTCACCACAGGTCTCCCATAATATTTACACTCCTGTGAAGGATGCTTAATGAAAATAAATGTTCAATCATCAGAATCGTCAATTATGTAAAAAGTATAAAACATTAAAGAGAGTATGGGTCAAGAAAATGGAGAGACTGGAGAACAATCCAAAGAGAAGGTAAAGTTTACATGATGCCTCTATGTCCTTACCTTTTGAATGAGTTGGGAATCACTTTTCTGATTTTCATTGAATCTTTTCTTATTTACAGAGCCAAAGAAGCAAAAGTAAGAGATTTCTATGAGAAAATTTTCCCAGAAATAAAAAAGCAAAGAGAACAAGCAGAAAGATTCTCAAGGTACTGATAGGAATGAGGAAGAAAGCAGGAGCAAACATCACATAGAGCAATAAAAAAAACTCCCAGAACACAACACACCATACCACATTGCTGCATGTCACACCACATCACATTGCAGCATGCCACACCACACCACACTACACCACCACACCCCACACCAACATACCACATATCAAGCCACACTACATCACAGTACATTACATCAAATTGCAGCACACCACACCACACTACACCACACCATACTACACCACACCACATTACACCACAACACCGCGACACCCCACACCAACATGCCACATATCACAGCACACTACATCGCAGCACATCACAGTGCATCACATCACACTGCAATACACCACACCACATGCCGTCATGCCAGATTGCATCATTGCATTACTGTCCACTTATTCATTGTTTTATTGTGTATTATTCTTTAGGATGGGTGCTCGCAGCAGCTGGGGTATCRTTGCAAGGAGCGAAGCAGAGTTTAATGAGATTGTAGACAACCTTAACGAACAGGAAGCTAATGAAAAACACATGAGAACCTTGGCTGTTGATCCTCCACCCATGTTGGACAAGCAGGAGAGAAAACTGACTTTTATCAACAGAAATGGTAAGGAATTAAGACGTAAAATGAAGAACTAGGTGCCAGTTGGGGGAAGGGAGATCGTCTGTTTGGTGGGTGGGGAGGATTATTTGTAGAACCAGAAATTTTTTTTATCGGATGAATCTAATGGAATTTTAGGCTTGGTGATTGTTTTGGAGAAAGGAAAACTTTGAAAAACCAGCAGAAATTGTTCTCGTACTACAATGTTAATTTATTCTTAACAGCTCTGCAACCCTGCAGAATATACTTTGATTGATGAGTTGGTTGTTTCCACCTCTTTGCCATAAATAGGATTAATCAGAGACCCGCTTGCACTTCTGAATGAGAGAAAATATCGTAATATATGGACTGATAAAGAAAAACAGATATTTAAAGAAAAGTAAGTTCCTTTTTGCTTTTATTCTTTCCCTTGCCACCCAAAATCACTTACAGCTGTACACCYGGAATCCAACACCCAACCTATACATTACTACTGATACTCATAGTAACCCCCATACACGTAGCTCAACACCTTTGTCAACCTGAACCCACACCCAAACTCAACATATGATGAAGCTACCCTATTTTTATGACTGTTTGTCCTATCACTAGATATATCAATCATCCTAAGAACTTTGAACTGATTGCTGCATATATTGAAAATAAGGTAAGAATAGCTTACTGTATTGACCATTAGCTTCACTTACTATGTAACTATTTGAGCTGTCAATTGGTTTACATTGACAGCCAATCTCATAATAATAAATATGGACTTAGATAAGAGGGTGAACCTGTGGYGCTTTATGTTTAACTTCCCTATACAGGATATGCACACCATTTATGTGGTCATAGGTGTCATGGTCAATACCTACCTATTTGCAGATTATTTTAGAGCAAAGACATCACCTTCTACTCTTATATTTTAAGAGCTTGAGTGTTACATTTAACTTGAACTTGAATAAACCTCCTATACTACAGACTGATGCTCTACCAACTCAACGTGAGCTTTAAAGATGATTTGAGCCTCAGTAAAAAAAGTGGTGTTTGTTTAGGTTGCTTCCAATCACTACATGAATCTAGAGTTCCCCACTATAAGAAATAATAATAATAATATAATAAATCCTTTATTTAACAAGGGTGGCACTAAATAGCAAAAACTTTGCTAATAAATCTTTGGCTCTCTGTCTCTCTGATCATCGAATACTTTTTTTCTTCTACAGAGTGTTGCCGACTGCATACTGTTCTACTACCAATCCAAAAAGAAAGAAAACTACAAGCAATTATCTCGAAAAAATTCACACAAGCGAAGACGAAGAGAAGTGGTAAGTTGGATATTCTTATTTCCATTTATCACAATCCTTAAAAAAAAAAATTAATCAACAATGACAGCTTGGAAGGTCGTTGTGTGCTTGGAAATGGGGGAAGTTGACTATCAGTATACTTGTAAACTGTTTTATATGGGGGTTAAGAAAACCCATATTTTGTAACCCCACATGTTTTGAAGTTACTCTTTGGGGGACCAAGGCCAAGGCAGCTATATAATGATTTCTTGTTCCTCAGCGTAATTATCACTTTTTAGGGGGTAATATATCCAATTGCAGCGTTCCCTAATTTCCACATGATAATTGAAAAGATATATAAGGTCTAAATGACTGTGAAAACCAGACGTGCTGTGCCGTGACAGTGACATGTACTGAATTTGTCCTGTCATTGTAATTCTGCTCTTTTCAAAATCATAATATAGTACTATTTTGTCTTAACATTTTCTCAGCAGTTGTCTTCAAATCGTTTTGCAAGTGCTGGGCGCAAGACAGGAGAATATGGCATATCTGATAGCGGGTTAGTAACTACAAATATTGTTATGATTTGCTGAACTGGTTTATTTTTGTGTGACTTATAGTAGCATGACCATGATGTGTAATAGAAATGGAATTATCAGTTGGATGTCTACATTTCAGCACTGTGACGGACCATGTGCTATGCAGTAATACTCCAGTTTTGAGTTTTCTTTTGCTCTGTGTTAGCCTCGATTGTGCTTAAATTATTCAGCACTTAGAGCAAAACCCATGGAATTCTATAGCAATTGCATTATATTAAATACTAAAGAATATATTACATGCTATTAAGGCTAACACAGAGCAAAAGAGTACTTGAAACTGRATTTTCTTCCCATTCCTACAAAATCTTCTCTACCATTGTTTAGATGAAAAAAATATTGAAGCTTCTCTTATGTTTATTTGTTCTGATAGGCGTGAACGAGGCTCAGACGGCGAATATGATGGTGATGAGATGACAGACTCAGCAGATGAAAGTGATCATGATGATCATGCATCAAACCAGTCTGCTACTCAAGGCTCTACACACTCCTTACCCTCATYGTCTACTCGTAATTCCAATAGCATATCACATTCTATGTCATCTAATAGACACAGAGGTATGTAATCTGGGAAGTTCACACATTTTTTAAGGTCAGGGAATTTTTTTATTTGGTGATTCCAGGAAGCTATATAGGAAAACATGCCAAAAAATATAGTACTTATAGTTCATGAGCCAAGTCCTAAAATTGCGAATCGGTACCATCTGTGGGAGCAAGTTCCACCTTGCATTTTTGGAATCCTCATGGTGTCTAATTTCAAAAAATGTATGGTGGCTATGTCACAAATGTTGCTCAATGGGCAAAAAAAAAATTTTATTTACTTTGATCTAAAATGGGTCTTCATGTGAGTAGTATCTAGCGCATGACTTTCCATGCTATAACCTGTATGGATCACGTGGATTATTATTTTGTTCATATATTTTTAAAATTTTTTGAAAGAAAATTTTTTTGATTATTTTTAAGCCCCACTGAACTTTGGCATTTTGGCGTTAGATAAATTATTAATTATTATTATTATTTTGTTAATGCATTTTTTGACAACCAGAACATCCTGAGACGTCACGCTGGACAGAGGGAGAAATGGAAATAGCCATGCAAGGTTAGTATTGTTTGTTCTTAGCCTAGACTAATGTTATAAACTTTTGGTAATAAACCTCTTTACCTTGGGCGTAGTGTTTTTCAATTTTTCATTTCCAAGAGAATGAGAAGTGTCAWTTTCTTGGGAATAAGAGGTGGGCTAAAATGGRAAGGAATGCAGTCTATTTTATCAATTCTCATAAAGACATTAAAAGAAAGAAAATCTTCTAGGATAGCTTATTCTCTTTCGAGACCATTAGTCTTGCTTTAATTCTGTTWTCTCTCGAGTTATATTTTTGACTTCACGAGTTTTAACTTCTGATAGTGAATCAAGGGTGATATGGTGGTTATACACTTGTCTCTTACCTCTAGGGTGTCAGGGTTGATTTCTGTACTCAACATCACATGTGAGTAGATTATTTTTAGCTCAACCTTTGAGCTGGTCTATATCAGGACACAGTTATCTCACAAATCGAARCGGAATTAAGCCTGTTGTGTTTTAAGCTTGAAGGAAAACCAGACAAAAACCTAGGACCAGACCCAACAGCTCTTCTCACATGAGATGCTAAGTCCAGGATTTGATAACCCTTGTTGGTGGGAAGTGACTGTACTACCCTTACACCTCCCTTGGTCCCAAAACGTTACTAACAGTTTTTATTCCCTTCAGGTTTACGTGAGAATGGTCGAGACTGGGCAGCCATTTCAAGGATGGTACTGACCAAAACGGACGCACAGTGTAAAAACTTTTACTTTAACTACAAAAAGAAATTTCATCTCGAGGCGATGGTAGCTGAGTTTGAAACATCCAAGGTGAATGAATAATAACTTCTTTTAAGTTTTTCATAGCCTATAGTATGACAATGATTACATACATACTTTTGTTCAGTATTTATTATTTTATTATATGTATTTCAAAATAACGAGACCCACAGTGCCCTTTGGTCTTGGAATGCACTATTCAGTATGCAGTATTCAGTATTCAAACTTTTTTGAAATAGCTGTATACACAGGAATTTAGATAAAACCTATCTATGTCTGAAGGAATAACCTAGATATGTAGCTGGCTAATTTACATTTTGCATGTAGTTGGAAAAGGATGTTCTAAGATTTAATGTTCAAAGATTTTCGAGAATGATAGAGAAATGGCACAGAGTTACTGTGTCTTTATGTCCTTGACGATACATTATGAGATTTGTGTATTACGTGTCGTAAATAGTAAATGTAATGATAGTGTGTGTGGAGCGAACCTCACAGAAGAGCCCAAATATGAGTTTTTCATATTGGCCAATTGGGCAAAACCATATTCATTCTCCTACATTTTCTGTTTTAGATGCAACGTGCTCAGAAGGCTGACGAAACCAGTAAAAATACAAATACCCACAACTACACAACAGAACAAAAGCCATCTCCATCAACTCGACCCAACACACGTCAAAACAGCAATGGAAACTCCAAAGGGAGCCCAGTTACTAGTGTAGCAGCTAGTGACAAAAGTACAATTGGATCAACCGTCACCACTGAAGCTTCTCCCACCACATCGACCACAAGTAGCGTGCCTGATATTCACCCGACCCAGTCACATGTCTCTACCACAGTCCACTCAACTCCTCATATCGTACAGACGAGCTCTACGCCAGGTCTTTTGGTTACTGTGTCGCATCCTACCACACAAGGCAGAATTTCACCTAAGCCTTTAAGAGAAATTATTATTACTACATCAGTGCAGCAAGTCTCTTCTACCCCACCCTCCAGCGTAGCTAGCATTACCGTGCTACCAAAGATCTCACCTTCTTCAAGTTACCAGCATGTAACAACACCAGTTCATTTGCCAGTCTCCCATCCAGGAATACTGTATCCGCAGGGGTCTATAGTGCAGGGACCAGCTCCTGGTCCTCGTGTAGTCTATCATGATGCTACAAGACAAACCCTTCCTTTCAACTCTGAACCTCAAGTTTTGACACAAGCTACGAAAAGACCCTCACCGTTTGGTGTGCATCATAGTGTGGATCAGGCGAATAGATCTTCAGTTTCTCCGTCAGGTAAAGCAGGTCAGTACAGCTTATTTTAAGGGGGAAAACACACGTCAAATGGCCTTACTTTCTTTTTTATTTGGAACACAAGATTATCTCCTGGCCCTGGAACTTAACAGTCTTACATGGATGGCAGGGACTGACTTTGCTACACCAAGCATTTCCACTTTGCTTGTTTCTATAGCCTCTCTCTTCCCTGGATAATAGAGGCTAATCTTACTATGTGGTTTGGGTGGTTCTGGATTAGATTGAAGTCGAAGTTGGTGCGTGACATCACTGGGGATTATTCGAACTACATTCCCTTACCTAAGCCACACTTGCTCCTTCATCCTTGCTCCTTGCTCATATATATTAAAGTGTCTATGACCCCTAACTCAATATTTTCAGCATTGATTCTACATGAAGTGAATAGTCGAATGGTGAAATATTTTTATATGATTTGAGTGATGCATCTTGGAGATATCAAGGTTTATACCTTCCAGTATGCTAATGAGTGTGATGTCATAGTAGTCATTATTRAATATACGAAAATTTACTGGGGTAGTAAAATATCCTGTATAAAACATAATTATCCTACTCAGGGTTTATAGAAAGGTTATTGCAAATTGGTTTACTCATAGTAATCAGTGTTTTGATTTAAAAATGATGACAAATAAACCCAAATGCCTACTATGACATCACACTCATTAGCATACTGGTAGTATAAACCTTGATATCTCCAAGATGCATCACTCAAATCATATAAAAAYATTTCACCATTCGACTGTTCACTTCATGTAGAATCAATGCTGAAAATATTGAGTTAGGGGTCATAGTCACTTTAAAGTAGCATGAATATAGATCTTTCTTCTAGACTTGCATGGCACTTGTTACGTTTAAACAACTCGTCTTACTTGCAACCTTATCTACTTTGCAACCAACTGATATCGTTATCAAAATGTTTAATGAGCTTGAGAACATTTAATAAAGGTAGTTATTTCATTGTACCAACAGACTCTACTCCAGATGATGGTCGCAAGAATCAAAGTTCTCTTCTACCAGGCAGCAGTAGTATGTCAACATCTCACAGTGATAGTAGCTCATGTCCTGAAATAGTGATCATCGATACGCAGCCATCGCAGCCCAACARGAAACAGACCCCAGGACAAAGTAGCAGAACCCCAGAATCTTGCACTACGTCTGTCATTCATGCTAGAGCGCAGTCACCAGGTAATCTACCTAGGCTTTTGATTTRTTTTAGATTACTAGTGAAGGAAGGATTGATTGACTGACTGATTAACAGACCGACCAACCGACCTAACCAAAGACCAACAAACCAAATCACTGTTTTCTCATTTCGGACCACATATTAATTGTTTGAGCCCCTCATCCATAATGTTGTATCTGGTCATGCGTTCCTAGCAAACAGAATAAATAATATTCAAGGCAAAAATGAATGACGCATGGTCAGTGAGAATGCGACGGACCATTAATTTATTCATATTAAGAGAGAATTCTTTTCGTATTCAAGCAGTGAGCACCAAAAACTATTTTCTTGAAGAAATGCTGTTATACAAGGCTAATATCTTGTTATTCAGAAAGTTTAACTTGTTTGGAAGTGGAGATGACCGATGAAAGTGGAATCAAAGTGTTAACCCAAAGCAAAAATTTTATTGGAAAATGAGGTTTAGGCCTTCATTTGCTTATTTCCCATATATTTTCTATAAAAAAAGCCTGACAAAGCAACATTCTAACACAAATGCAACAAAACATCTTTGTACAATTGAAAATACCGCTTCAAACAGGCATTTTATCATAGTACATCAGTTTCTAACTGTTTGAAAAAAGGTTTTGAGTGTTAACCTAAAACGAAAATTGGGATCAAAACTCATACGAAAGTCTAGTATTTGGCGCTTTTTGCCGTTATTGCTTATTATCGAAAAAAATTTCCTCTTAATTGAAATTCATTGGTGTTTTACAGGATACACTCAAACATCTGTGATCACARATAACAAGACATCGCAAGCAGCAAGAAGCAGTGCTCCCCAACGTGTCCCACCAACAAGTATAAGTACCATATATCATGGTCGTCCCGACGCTGCTCCACCCGGACCTACCAGTAGTGACGGCAACCTTAAACCACCACCACCACTTATACAGGTTGCTTCCTCGCCATCTGTTCTTCGTCCTTCCAAATCGCCTGGTCAGGAGGTTATTCAGCCAGGAATCCCTAAACCAAGGCCTGTAATGCCCAAAGAGACAGAGGGGTGCTTCAAGAACAGTCCAGCCCCTTTGATGGTTGACCTGACAAGAGACAGTCGTAATTCTGCTTCCGTCGAAGGCTTCCCTTCTAATCGACCACCAGACTCTGCCCGTGCTGTACTCAAAGCAATGGCAAAAATTCACACTGAAGAGGAAGCTGTAAAGAGGGGTGAGACGAGGAAAAAAGAAGAGACTGTTATACCTCCGAAACCACCAGATACGAAGCTGACAGACCATGAACAGCAGGAGGCTGTGCGAAAATACAAGAATTTACCATCGGTTATTACAGCACCCATGGAATACTCACCTGGTACCTCGGCTATTCCTTCTTCGTACATGGGGCATTTGCAAGCACACCAAGCTCAGGCTAATGCTCAAGCTCAAGCCCAAGCTCAGGCTGTACATGGTCATGTACATCCTCACGCGCTTGCTGCCATGAATCAAGGTGCTCACTATGGTCATGCAATGTACATTGGTCATCCCCGCCTTCCTTATCATCACCAAGTCATGCCACTTCCTTTTCAACAACTGGGTTTGCAAGACTTTCCACCAATGGGAATGAATGGCCGTGAAAGCCCTGGGCATATGAAAATGGGYATGTATAGACATATTCGCCCGGTACATGCGTATTCCTACAGTGGCATGCAAGTCGCACCAAACGTGCATAGCTATAGAGCTCCAGAAGAACTAGCACATCACTCACACAACCAACCAACTGACGATAAATTACCTAATCAAGCTTCCCACCGTGGGCCTTCCACAAGTCGGTCTGCTGAGATCTCTGATCATGACTTGAATCATCCATTCCTATCTCAAACATCACCGCATCTACGTCCTGGTCATTCAATAGGACCAGATGCCCGAGTGAGTGCTCCTTCACCTGGTGAAGCATCCAAACATTTGCCATCCAGTCGGCCTTCAGCAGAACAACCAAAAGTTTACCCGCAATCCTTTTCACCCTCTGAAAGGCCTTCCTCTAAATCACCTGCTTACCTTCAAGTTGTTAGGCCGCCAGCCAGACCTCCATCGCTGCCTGACATTCGCAACAAGGCAGCTGTTATACCAGAGTTGTCATCAGATGCTAGGTCAAAACTTGTGTTTCCAGATCCTGTTCGCATTGATGTTACTGAGGGAGCACCCAAAAGAGTTCCATCCAGAACCCCTGAACAAAGAGTCGATTCCAGACAGGATTTTAGAACATTGTTTTCTGAGCCAAGAAGAGAGCACCCAGATATGCCTCATTACCCACAGAAAAATAGAACAAGCACCGGTTCAGACCCAAGGCACGGCGATCTTCATTTAGGTCGCTCTGATTTGAAGCAAGATGTTGTGATTCGACGAGAGGCTAAACCTGATCAAAAGCAAAGTTTCCCAGGTTTACGATCTGACGTACGGCAAGACGTAAATCGTGAATTGAGGCCCCCTCCATTTCACGATCCAAGAACAGATATTAGACCTGTGCCAAAAATAGACCCTAGGACAGGTTCACCTTATCCAGACCATAGACAGGACTATGGCCCAGAATCAAGCCACAATCCATACTTAGTGTCACAAAAGGAGGTTGCTATCCCTAGGCTTGACGCTACGAGTGTTGTTCATCATCACGCCAAGCAGAGTCCACAAACTGAAAGCAAGGTAACCCAAAGTAGACCCGACATGATGGGTCTGATAAGAGTCGACCCTCATGCCTCTAGACAAGACACTTTACAAGCAGTGGGCCGAGATAGTAGACAAGTACCTAACGTAGATCTTACTCGTGGAGAATATGTACGCGATGGAAGGATTATTCTCTCTTATCCGGAGTCGTCAGTTGTTTACAGTACTGCACAATCAAGATCCGTTATGAGACCAGAGACTGTCCCAACCACAATCATATCCCAGTTAAGACCGGAGTTCACCAGGACAACTTACGACCCGAGGCACGATATGCAAAATGAAACTAGAGATGTTCGGTTTCCAGTCCACTCAAGACCATACGGTCACCACGAAGTTAAAATAGAACGAAAGCAAGAACAGCCCCTCCACGATGGAAGGCAAGATCTGATTCCCGAGAGAAGAAAAGAAGTTATCGCAGAAACGATTCCGCCGTCAGTGTATCACGTTATACACAATGAACCCATGCAAGATAAGGAAACAGCCGATAGAACTGTGATAGAGAGAGGAGAGCGGCTTGTGTCTGACAACACTCGATCGATCATGAAAGGACAAAGCGGTCAAAATGCAAAAGCTAGAAAGAGTACACAGGAAGATTTGTTGTCAAACCTGGCCACTTTAGTTGATGTGGCAGCATTAGCTCGGCCTGTGGAGCTGACTCCACTGGAGAAAAGAGAACGCGAAAATTCCCGAAAAGATTCCGATTCATCTAAGGATTCAAAATCCCCTTCAGAAACTGAAGAAAAACATTTTCGTACAGAGGTTACCACTAGTCAAGAAACAGCACCTCGATATGGTATTGGTTCAGGATTGGTTCCCAAACCACCCCCACTAACCCCCATAACAGGAAAGAGGGTAAATCAAGACTTGACAGCTAATACTACATCGAGTTCTGCTACTACAACTTGTGTGGTCGTAACAGCTGATGCTAAAAGTCCAGCCAGGCTAGCGTCACCGCAAAGTCTACATACTTTTCAATCAGCCATGAGTCCTGAGAAGCCCCCTCCATTAATACCTCGAATGTCTACCAGCCCTGCAGTCACAATTAGTCCAACTACACAATCCCCGAGACAAGGTGGACCACCACCTTTGATTTCTCGACCTTGTTCATCTCCTGGAGTACAAGCTCCAAAACCAAGTAGTGCTACATCGGAAGAGCGTCAAGGAGGCCAAAGCAGGTGTGAAGAAAGGGTATCGCTTGATCACGGTCAGCATCCATTTGTCAGGAATATATTCGAAACGGTGACTTACCTACCTCCACCTAACGTCTTGGAAGCACAAAGAGGGAATGTCATCTCACAACCAACCATTTTACAGCATACTAGTACTCCGCCACAAGCACGCGGAGCGGGCAACCAGAATCCTGTCAGTAGTATATCAAGAGTAGTTGTGCCTCCCGGAAGTAGACAATTTCAACAGGGAAGTGGCTTCAGCACCCCTTCTGGACTGTTTGCTGATTACTTTCTAGAAGCTTCGAGAAGAGAGCGAGACGTCCTTGGAATGCCGAGATATCAACAACCAATTAGGTTAACAGCGGAGACTTCACAACCACAGCCATCCCGTGCCAAGCCCGATGATGAGAAAGTGGGTGTTAGGGGCGAGGGAAGTGTAGCAAGACCCACACCTTCGAAGTCACCCAGAGGACCACAAATAGATGACTCAGACTTTCCGATCGTCAAATCTGAAAATCAGATGAAGGGGTACCCKGGTGCAGGTGTTGTACATGGAGAGGCATATCGTCAGGTATCACTAGGGGCTGCTCCGAGTTCAACAGCTTCAGAGAAACCAGTTACTGAGGTTAGCGTCATAAGAGAGCCTGAAACCAATCTTTACCCTTCTAGTGATGCTCACCGAGCGTTCAAAGGAAAAGTTGATCAACCGCAAAGATTTCAGGAATTTGAGCGCATGAGAGGAACATTTCTTGAACCCTGGCTCGATCATGAAGCAAGTGATAGCGATACGTTATCAGCCGAAGAGACTGAAAATGTCCACGAAAGTGGCGATGAATTCATACCAACCTCTTCGATCTCAAATAGACAACCAGTGCACGGCTATGCAGAGAGGCGACCTCAAGACAATAGAGAAAAGCAGTCGACCTCACAAACTTTTCATCATCGTTCTCCAGATATTCCACATGCGCCACACCCATTACAGTCCTTATCGAGAACAGCAACTACGAATATAAACACGAGAAACATGTACCCGCATCCTGTACCCATTCAACGCAGTTCTGATAGCATTTCTAGTTCAGGTGTGATGTCACCTTCCATTTCCAGTTTAGTTTCGTCTATAAGTTCCTCAGAGGTTGTCAGACGGCAGTTACCTGATGCACATAGCCAGCAAAGATCTAGTGATTCCAAAGAAGCTGTCGCCAAAATTCCAGACTCTATTGATGATGGGGCCTATAATACTGGAGCGGGTACAAAAATTCTCGGAAGAGAATACGGAACTGAGGGTCGTGCAGGAACTTCTGAAATAATGGACAACAGCCAAGAGCGTGAGCAGGGAGTAAGTACTTCTGGAAACGAAACGAGAGATATGTCAAAGACAGTGCCTGATAGCTCTCAACATTTTAGTTCCGCGAGTACCAGTGGCTCTGGGTCTCCAAGGAACGAGGAAGAGGCATCAATGGAAATAAAACAAGAAGTTGYTGCTACAGCGGATTCAAGCGATGCTTCAAAACATCCAGCTCAGTCGCACCCTTCTTCAAGTGATGACACGCATTTTCCAACAAGGTCTGAAGTTGCTAGCCCCGATACAGGTGAAGTTGCTTCTGAGCCACAGTCCACAGTGAGTGTCCAAGTTACCCTCTCACAGTCTTCTAATGTTCTTGACAGATCTATTCTAAGCACTTTCTCTAGCCCGTCATTGAGTCCCCAACCTTCTGATACCAGTAGCAGCGTCCGTCCCCGACTATCAAATTCTTTAGAGAATGCAATTGACTCCAGCAGCGTTGTAAGTCCACAGCCAAGTGGAAGCAGAGAGGAAGACGTTAGTCGTGCCATTCAATCAAACTCAAGCCTCGATGAAAACACACACCCCGAGCCATCTGCAAGCCAGTCCTCGCAGTCACAAGCCTATGACATCAGCACCTCTCACCCAATTCCATCTTTGTTTCAAAGACTTGATGGTGGCACGATTACCACTCCTTCACAGAGCTCAAATATTGGTGAACCAGAATCATCTGACACCACAATCCATTCCATGATGCCACAGTCTTCTAGAAGTAAAGATAGCGGAACCAAAGAGGTACAGCCTGTCGATAGCAGTAACGAGGTACAAGCTTCTTGTAACAGTACAGTTGCCCAATCATCTGCTGTCCGTGAAGAACAAAGTCAACTAGATACGCAGTCTCTGTCATCGTCTACTGAAACCAGTGCAGCAGTAGAATCTTCTGATGCTAGTGAAGTCGAACGTACACAGAATGAAAGAGAACCATATTCATCGCCGCAGCCTTCTGCGGAAGGTAACGTAGTTGTGCAGTCTTCAGCTACTTGTGAAGCAGAAAGGGCTCAAGGGTTAAGCCAACCAGATTCATCGCCGCAGCCATCAGATGAAAGCAATCAAGTTGTCCAATCGTCTGTTGATAGAGAAGTTGAAAGAGCTTCCCAACAAMATCAACCGGATTCGGTTTCCCGATCACCCTTTGCTGCGAGTAGTTCAGTCGTGCAATCCTCTACTGTCAGTGAAGATGCACTTGTACAGAGTCAACCGGACTCCTTTTCTCCATTACCAGCTCCTGCAGAAAGCTTGGTCATACAGTCGTCTATGGTAAGTGATAACGTTGGGATTCAAGAACAGAATCTACCAGATTCCATATCTCGATCTTCTTCCACCGAGAACAGAACCGTGGTTGAGTCTTCAACTGGTGAGGGCATCCAAAAACAACCAGATTCCCATTATTTGAGAGATGAAGCCAGTCCTGCTGCGGACTCAAGCGAAAACCAAACAAGCCAACAGCCATCATCCAGACAGGAACTGGATGTTGAAGAAGAAATGGTAAGTGGAGGAGTGTCTGAAGATGTTGATCAAGAATTCAAAATGATATCAAGCTCTGAGGTGTCTCGGTCTTACGCGACAAGTAACGTCCTGAATAATGACCAAAACTTGGCTATTTCTACCACTCGAAGTTCGTCGTTAGAAGAAGGAACTAGCTCCTCGGTGTCTGATGAACAAAGCGCAGATGAGGACAACCAAGAAAAGAATTCTGAGATCGATCTACCAGATGAGGACGAGGAATCCTCGATTCCCGAGCCTGAAATGCTTATGGATCTCGGAGATTCTCTATTGGGAGTCAACAGGGAAGACAGCATTGATGAGCTATCTGACTTTGATGAAGGTGAAAAGCACTCAATGGTTCCAACATTCGTGGGAGAGTTCATACCGAATTCTGGTAACAATGACTCGGTGTCTTCAACCAACTTACGAACAGACACCAATGATCGTGATAATGTTTCTGATACGTTGAATGAGGCTGAACCGATGCAAAATGTCGAAGAGGAAGAAGTGAACACAGATGGTGTTATTAATGCAGAAAGCTCTACACAGACAAGATCTGATTTAGTCGAAAGCTCTAACTCGGTATCCTCGGAAAGACTTACAGATTCAACAGAAGTAGTAGATGATAGTAGGAATGCCATTGATTCTCAAGAGGTCCCTGCTTCATCGGGTGAAGAGGTCCGTCCACACACGGATTCTGACCATGAGGACATTAATCCTACAATGGAAGGTAGCATAGATTCTCAAGAAGTCCCTGCTTCATCGTGTGAAGAAGTCCGTCCTCACACGGATTCTGACCATGAGGACATTAATCCTACAATGGAAGGTAGCATAGATTCTCAAGAGGTCACTGCTTCATCGGGTGGAGAAGTTCGTCCACACACGGATTCTGACCACGAAGACATTAATCCTACAATGCAAGGTAGCATATATTCTCAAGAGGTCCCTGCTTCATCGAGTGAAGAAGTCCGTCCTCACACGGATTCTGACCATGAGGACATTAATCCTACGATGGAAGGTAGCATAGATTCTCAAGAGGTCCCTGCTTCATCGGGTGAAGAAGTCCGTCCTCACACGGATTCTGACCATGAGGACATTAATCCTACGATGGAAGGTAGCATAGATTCTCAAGAGGTTCCTGCTTCATCGCGCGAAGAAGTCCATCGACACACGGATTCTGACCACGAAGACATTAATCCTACAATGGAAGGTAGCATAGATTCACAATCAGGAGGTACTGTACCCCCTCAAGAGATCTCACAGAATCGAGAAATTGGAATCGCCGATACGGTCAGTCATGTTTGTGAAGAGCCAGTAGTAACTAGTACTATAGCCAGTAACATTAGTAATGTATCAAGCGATAGTCTAGCACCAATATCAGACGTCAAAAGCGAAACTGCAGAAACACAACCACTAGAAGTGGAAGCTAGTGAAATTGATACGGAGATTCGTCATGAAAGTGACGACACTGYTGATGCGCATTCGCCCGATCATGACGATATTGATTTCTACTGGCGATACCCTGACACTATCCCTATATCTCCGGCATCTCCTGAATCGATAGATGAAAAATCTGAAGTAGACAACGTATCATCCGTCCCGCTATGGCAGCCATTGAGTCAAGGCAACGTTACCACTCAAACAACCAGCTTTACGTTCACGTCGAGCATCCAAAGTATTACGACTGCGACGTCTCATTTTACTTCGCTCTCCTACCCCAGACTACAAACACAACGAAATACTGTGTTTCCTTTTTCGCCTCTTTCTTTAAATATTGGTTCTGCCTCAAGCAGTGCCCGCTCTTCTCCGGTTTCGTACTTAAGCATTGGACGCTCTCAGTCTCCATGCCCTCCTGTGTTACCTAGGCAACAGGAGCCAGTACCAATCCTGTCAGATAAATACGAACCCTTAAGCGATGATGAGGACGACAATTTGTGATGCCTGTAAAATACTTCAATCCTATAGTTTAATATTTATTTATCTATCTGTTAGTAGTTCGTTCGCACGAACATCGTAAATACTTTTAGTCTTGCTTTACCATTTACACGATCCATAGAATCGAACGTGGCAGCAAAACTCTTCATATTTCGTGTAAAATACAGTGTTGTTTTTATGGTTTTCAGTTGTACCATTTTACAACGTTAAATTAGCTGCAGTATCCGCGAGCCTTGTCATTATATTACGCCAATATTGAAACCCCCGGGTTTCGTTTAAGGCCAAGACAAACTCAAAAACAGGTGTTGATCCCAAGTTCTCGTTGAAGGCCCGGACAAACTCAAAAACTGAGTCGCGTGATGATGCTGGGAAGGTGTGACATGAAGGAGCTCTAGGTGATGTGTTATGTTATTAGGCAGCGTGCTTTGGCTCATCATCTCGCGACCAGAGAAAAATTTCACTATAGAGCATGCAGTAAACAGATGTAACCTAGCAAGAGTGTTCATCTAGGGTAGTAGAGCAAGTAGTTGTAACCTAGCAAGAGCGTTTATCCATGGTTTGGGTTTGCAGAGGTATTCGTTGCCAACTGTGTATATATAAATATAAATATTCAAGACCAAATTTTATCAGTGTGGTTTATGAGATAACGTGGTTTTGGTTAAATTACTGCTACTTACAAAAGAGATCGGGGTGGACGTTTGTTCTCTAATCAATACACTTGCACCTCAATACGGTAGACACCCTTCTATTACGGACATTTTCTTTGATCCTTTGGTCTCGAGTTCGCCTAGTTTATTCGCTAGTTCTTGGTGTCATGAACTCTATGTGGTTGCTTGACTTGAACAAAATATTTTGTTTTGATTTTTTTAAAAGCCTGGTTTAGAGCACGAGCAGTGTTTACACGTAAATCGTAAATGCAATAGTACCTTTCACAGTTCCCTGTGCCATCTTCAAAGGTATCCGTTCCATTTGCATCGAAGCGAGACGAACGGTGAGCTTGCAATGATAGAGACTTTTTTAACACCTTGAACAATTATTCACATGTCTATCATTGCAAGCTAACCGTTCGTCTTGCTTCAAGATGGCGCAGGGAACTTCGAAGGGGACTATTAAGAATGAAATGCGCATTAGAGCTTGCTTGTTTACGTTGAAAATATTCATTGGTATTTCATTTGCGCAAACATTTTTATACGTTCAAAACGAGCATTTCCCTTGCGTTTAAGTTACTGTAATCCTAAATTGTGCTTGCGGTTTATCGTTATCGAACGTGGCGGCCACGTTTATTGTCCTTTTATTATCATGAAAAGAGATGCACAAGCACCTCGACCAACTAATATGGACACTAAATCTTCAACACGGACACGACTCCATATGAGAGGTTTGCATTCAAAATTCCTACCTTTCCGGCCAGTATTGATAAAGATATCCGAGATATCAAAACGTTAGTGTAGGTACGTACGATAAATTTAGAGCCTTTATTCTGTACTTGAATTTTATATATCACTGATACAGCTTTTACCAAAATATCARTATGATTAGTAAATACACCTAAACCTAAGCAATGATTATCTAACTCCTACACGAGTACGCATGCTTACCCTCTTGATCGATTGGCTTGGAGTAAGTGATGGTTTTGCGTTCACGTGAATTGATTGGATGTGCAGCGTCCCGCCTTTGATTGGATCAATCGTATGGCATAATACTAAATCTACTTATTCATACCAAGTAATATTAACTAATTGTTTTAATACAAACAAACAAAAACAAGAGCAAAATGAAATCATAAATTTGTGGTGTCCGCACTGGATAGCCAAATTTTAATAATCAAACATACGTTTGTCATATAGTCGTGCCATTCTATGGCTTGATGACATGGTACATCATTGTAAAACAACAGTTTTTTACCCGTAAATACGAAATCAATGTTCGTCATATAGTTGTGCCATTCTATGGCTTGATAACATGGTACATCATTGTAAAACAGTGGATTCTGTGTGTTGCCTCGGTCACGCACCACAATCCGTTTCTTCCTGTCGCCATATCGAACCGCCCGTTGGTATTATCAATGTCACGTAGTGGAAATTCCACGTTGCTCACCAGGGCATATGATTCGGTGGATACAAACCATATCATCGGCTTGAGATGAACAGTCTTCGATAAGAAACATCCCATGGCGATTGTTAATTYATCAGCTGTGATGATAAGAACATGTTTGAGATCTGCGTCGTACGTTACTGCCAGAGGCTTCCAGTCTTTGACTTTGTTCGCCTTGTGCAATTTGAACGCCATCTTCTTTAGCACCCTGCCATCTTCGTGGAATATGATCACCCCCGTTCTCGTAGCAACGATCAGGTCGTTATTTGGACCAAGACAGAAAGAAAAATGGGATCCAAGATTAGACGTTTGCATGACTTTTCGTAGTGAAAGAGATGCCTCATCTGGCTCCAAAGTGTAGATACACCCATTCCCCTCGTCTCCTAGATATAAGTCACCTCTTGAACTGATTGACATCCCACACGGAATCACATCTTGCCTCACATCTCTAAAGCAATATCTGGTATCGAAGGAACACRCAAACCCTCCATTTTGATCGAACTTGACAATCGTGTTCACCTTCGTACTCTCTTTGTAGAATACGGCAAATATTTCGTCATGTTGGTTGGTTGCTATGGCGAGGGGTACATTGCTACCCGGGTCTTCTGGCAGGGGGTCACATTGCCATAGGAATTTCCCAGTGGCGTTCATGGCCTTTATCTTTTGGTTTCTTGAATCAGCTACGATAACAAGATCTTCGCTGTTCACTGCGATACTCGTTGGTCCATCCAATTCCTCGTCCGAAACACCTTGATGACCAAATGGCGTCTGAGGAGAGAAGCCAAAGCAACAGGTTAACAGTTTAATTTTCACGGCAAATTTGTGCGGCCGATGACAAGTGACACCGTAAAGCTGCGATATTCACAAACAAAAAGATCGCCTAATAATTTAAGATTATTTTACTGAATAATTGACTTAATAACCAGAGACCAGACAAGCGAGTGCTGAAGATATGTATGGCGCAGCGCGAGGCATTTACTGAAAATTTCGGCCCCATCACCGCTATCCCGGGTGGAATTACAGTCTTATCAGGAAGCTCGGCAAAAGGCCGAAGGGAGAGGTTAGTCGGCCCCTAGACCATAGAATAGTAACCCCTTGCTATGACCAGCAACTGACCCGGTTGGTTGCTTGTGCTGTGAATGGCTAAGGCCCATGGTCTCCTGAAAGCTTCTGTGACGTATATTTACACGCAATATTTGGAGTACAAATCCAAACACATATTCTCTTTTCCTTTATGCTGTAACACGAGGTACTATCATACTATTTAACGACCACTGAATGGATAAGAAAATAGAAAAGGGGAAAAACCCTGCAATAACTCAACTATAGTAGCTATACCGTACCAAGCAGTCAATATTGTTAGGATTTAGTCTCGAAAACATTTATCGAGCGTTTTTTTTTTTGAAATAAATTCAACTCAAAATTGTAAAAGTACGTAAAAAATTCATTACAAATTTAATTTCGAAGAAACTTCTCGGTTTCGAAATGCATAATCTACTGAATCGATCCCGCTAATGTAAAACCTATTGAGTGCTTACCGGCAATTAATGTATGCAAACATGTGAAATCAACTGCGCGAACCAACTTTAAAATGGCTTCTGCTATATAAAATAAATGACAAATCGAGAAAATGCGGCAATTTTCAATCAGATCAATAGGTAACCAATTTAAATGTAAAATCTAATACCATCAAAATCAGTATTCATGGTGATTTTTTTGTTGTTGTTTTGACAAGAAAGCCACAAGGCAACAGCGCTTCAGAAAAAAACTCTTTCCCTTTTGGTGAATGTTTTAAAATAATACAATATGATCAAAAATAGAATAAAAACAACTAAAATACCAAATCACAACCACCTTGGAATTATTCGCAATATAAAAAAAACCCGAATCATTATCGATCCCGTACATCATCATCTTTCATTTACCGGTAGTGAACGTCGGAACGGTCATGATAGAATAAGGCCGTTTTTTAAGTCGTTCATCATTGAATAATAAGAGCGGTATGACAGTTCCATACACTGAGGTCCATCGCATCACTCTTGCTTGCCATGGTTTTTGACTCACCTGATAAATGACACAATACTGATCAATCAAACTGGCTAAGTTGGAGGTACGACTCGTGTGTAATTTATTGAGAAACGGCTCTTTGTCTTGCGGTCTAAAAAGTGGAACCAAGCTTGCTCCAAGAATGAGCAGTTGAGAAACGCATTGGACTGTAACTGGCAGATTGGTAGCGGTCCTTGACTTTTCTGTACGGATAAATTTCTCAAAGATGGGGCTGAACTGTAACTGCTCGATGTGTCCACTAACAACTGTAGCTAACAGTTCCGGGCTTGTAAAATACTGCAAAATGGCTGCATTAACCCTCATCGCAGTGGCAAAGCTGTAGAAGAAAACGTGATTGAAACTCCTGACTTCTGTAGATTGAAATACGGCTGAGGCAATTAAAGAGGAGCATTTGAAAGCTTCCTTTGCCCTGACGAAGGCTGGATTTTCGGGATCTACTTTATCTTTRATCAGGGACAGATATGGAATAACCTTTCTTAGAGCATAACACACGTGTGGTATATGCGTAAAATTTGCCATACTGCTTGCCTTCATCACGTTTTGGATAAAGCTGTTCCACTTATTTCTGCAGTCGTCTTCCATCCAATTTTCATCTAAACTGCTCAAATACTCAGTGAGGATTTCTAGACCTTGTTGAAAGAATGTTAGCGATCGTATCATTTTCCCTTTTAGAAATTCGACTTCTAGTCTTGCAATTTCTCTCCTTCGTTGTTGGCGCCGCAGTAGAAGGCCAGTGAGACAAGTGGCACCTCTTATGATGCATCGAATAGCAAAGCCTATAACCATTTTATATAATGAAACGAGTATTCAGTTCGTGGGTCTTCCGTGGTTGTGGTCGTTGTCGTCTTTGGRCAAGAGAATATGAACTAAGAGAAGGAATCCCCGTGCCCCATCATGTGCACACTTTGATGCTATTTTTAGAATATCATTGATGATGATATTTTTAGCTCGTTACCATGCCCGCGCSATAATCATGCTTCCTTTAATGCCTCGTTTTAGGACACGAAAAGCGACAAAAACACAGGCTTTTGTTTACTGCAAGAGTAGAAGCCGCCTCAGTAGTACCCCCAAGAAATCAACCAATCAGATTCTTCGCTCAAAATATCTCCAATAGGTAGGATTCCTTCTCTTAGTTCATATTCTCTTGCTTTAGGTCTTCAAGAAATGTTCGAAGGTTTAAGTCGAAAGGGTTAGTACCTGCGTCAGAGCGTCCGTCAGAGCTCGGCTCATTTGATCTTGAACTCAAAAGTAAGCCTAGAAACGAGGAAGTCTTAAACGAATTTCACTAATACAACGTTATCTGTTAATGGATTCGGATCCCTATGATTTTTTAAAACGCTCAGGAACGAGCTGAACAAAACAAGAAACAACACGAACTTTCAACTTGAAATCCTTTTGAACTGTAGAGATAATCGTTGCTCAAGTAATTCTCCGCCACAGGTATCCCGCAATGGTAAAATTCAGAATTTTTCGAATTCGTTAAATACGTATACATATTCTGTGTTCCTTGATTACAGRCTCATGTACTCAGAGCTAGCCTTATGTCAGTACCAAAACATTCACAAATACCAATGGTAAAGTAAAGCCGAATGCACAACTTCAACTATATACTAACACTTAGAAATTGCGAGGAGCTTTGCACTGAAACACATCAATATCTTATACAGAATTAAATTGAGGCTACCCTGAGCAACAGAGAACTCAAAACTCGAGTAAATAGCCATTCCGTGGTTGAGGAAAAGACTGGTTTGAGTTGGCACTGCAGTGCATTGTGGGGCTGTTTTAGGTGATGTCATAGACGCCATCTTGGAAATATGTCCTCTAAAACAGCCCCACAATGCACTGCAATGCAAACACGACCCAGTTTTTCTTCAACCTCGSAATAGCTATAATTGCTTCTGTTGATGCTATGAGCGCGATTGAACACGAAGCTTGGGCCTCCTTTGATCTTACGTACCTGACTAATGAGACAATACTTTGATACCAAGCAGAACAAACCGGATGCTTGACAGGCTCGAAGATCTTCGTTGAACTGCACTCGGGCTTCCGGTTTGAGAATTAGAGTCAGACTTACTGCCAGGGCTAACAGTCCATCAATACACTTCATCAGTGATGATTTAGAAAAACTTTTGACCACTTTTCCGACCCAGCTACGACTGTACAATTGTAACTGCTCAATGTGCCCACTAACAACTGCAGTTAGCAACTCCGGGCTGGTAAAGTACCTCATAATGGCGGCATTAACMCTCATAGCAGTGGCAAAGCTGTAGAAGGAAACGTGATCAAAGCTAGTGACGTCTGTAAATTGAAATACGGCGGAGGCAAAAAGAGACGAGCATTGGAAAGCTTCCTTTGCCCTGACGAAGGCTGGATTTCCGGGATCTACTTTRTCTTTGATCAGGGACAGATATGGAATAACCTCTCTTAGAGCATAACACACGTGTGGTATCTGTGTAAAGTTTGCCATACTGGATGCTTTGATGACCTCTTTAATGAAACCTCTCCATTCGCTGTACCCACGATTCATACTTGGCGCGTTGTCGTTCAACTCCAGATATTCAGTGAGGAGCTCGAGGCCTTGCTGGAAACATGTCACCGACTGAACTAAATTCGTAATCACACATTCTCTTTGCCATGTTTTTAATTTTTTGTTTTCTTGGTGTTTGCGAACTGCTAAACTCACTCCACCAACGGCTCCCTTTACCAGGAGCTGAATAAGTAAATCCCAATGCATTTTACTGAGAGAACTTGTGTCGCTTGGTAGAAAAACACAGTTCTTTAATATTAGAATTATGAATTGGAGTCAGTCATGGGTCAGTCACAAGATCTTTCGGAT